TGGCGCCCTCCTGGGCACCAATAATTATTTTTGTTGCTCACCTATCAACCAGCTCTGTATATTCACAATTCTTTTCTGTTTCCTTTCTATTGCTCTTTAGTCATACCAATATTCTGGGTCTGTCCACGTTCTGTCTTGTAAGACTACCCCTCCCCCTGTCTGTGGTAGAACATAATGTTTTGGGACCCCTTTCCCCAAAAATTCATATTTCTATACCTTTCTCCCAGCACCCAGGGTGCATTTCGGCTTGTTTTGAAATATACAAATTTTAAGCAATGTGCGTTTACAAAATTTATCATTTAAACCATTTAAATGATCGTGGATAAGTTTTGAAAGAAAGGAAGAAGATTCTCCTGCTCATGTTTTTGTTTTCTGATGACAGGGCGTTGAAAGATTTGTGTGAAATTTAACAGACTCATCCGGGTGTCTTTCCCTCAGAATGGCCGCCTGCGCCACCTGTTTCTCTCAGGCTGTGCTCCTCTGGGTTGCCATTCCAAGGAAGGCTAGGAAGCCATCAACCAGAAAGCGGGCCTTCGTAGTCATGGCCCCCATCCTCTTTGAAAAAGGCTCCCAGTGACACTAACCTGGCCTCTGCCCTTACAGCCTTCAAGAGGATGATGAAGCCTTTGAGAGAATCCTCTCTTAACATTCTATGTGTGTTAAGAGAGCATGTGTTTTCTGTGACATCGTCGGCACTGATTTAGAGCAGCCCTAATAAGGCTTTTGAGGAAAGTGAGATATTTAAGGAGTGGTTTTACCAGTTCCACTGCCCCAGACAGTTTCCATGGCTGAGCAGGGATTCGAACCCAGGTCTTCTGGGTCCTAATCTGTCACTCTATCCTAGTATGCGTTTCCCATGGTATGTATAATGTATGTATATGAACTATTTTTTACTTGCCTGTTCAGCCTATTGATGGGAACGGTGCAATGCAGTCACGCAGCCCCTCTGTCCCCTCTTCTCCCACTCCTTCCTTCCTTCCCTCTGTCCCCCTCTACTGTTGGGGGGACATGCCCCGGCCACATTCCAGCCGCAAGCGCCAGCAGTGTAACTTGAAACTTTGGAATTCCATTAAAAATAAAAAATTGCACTGGGCCGCATTATGAGCTGACCTGGGCCGCATGCGGCCCTCGGGCCGCAGGTTGGACAAGCCTGCTCTAAAGCAAGGCAAAATGGTGGGCGGCCATTTTGTTTACCCGGCGGCCATTTTGAAACCGCTGATCAGCTGGCCGAAAATGGGGGCTTTGTTATGATCGCAGGGAAGCGATCATCGCAAAGTGAAATTTCCCCATAGGGACCATCGCAAAGCGATTGCTCTTGAAATGGCAAAAAGTCCATTGCAAAGCGATTTCATCGCTATACAGAGCGATCGCTATGCAAGGCACCACTGTATGTGATTTTTGTCTCTTACTATATTTAAGATTTGTTTTATTTTATGTTTGTTTCTCTCTGGATATAAACTACCCAGAGTACTGTTTGTCACTTGTCAGTGTGGTACACAAGATGAATGAATGAATGAATGAATGAATGAATGAATGAATGAATGAATGAATGAATGAATGAATGAATGAATGCGTACCATCTTGCAGCCCACACATTGAATAAATTTGTTAAAAAATCCTAGTTTAACACCAATTCCACACAAAGACACCATTTCTTTCTCTGCGTGTCAGGGTCTGTGAACCCAAGATTTGCTGAACCCGTTCTATTGTGTAGGTATTGTAGAACGTTTGCGCCGGCTCCGATTTGCAATGTGTTAATATATCCCTCTCGTTGTCCTCTCCTTCCTCGATCGATTTTCCTCCTGGCCCCTTCCACCGGCAGCTCATGGACCAGCTCGAACGAGAGGATGAGGTGGAAGCCCTGGCTTTGCGGCAAGAGATCGGCCGTTACCTTCTGGAAGAAATGGATGGAGGCATCAGCAACGGGCACCCGCCTGACTCCGGCGTCAGCTCTCCGGCTGCCGAAGAGGAGCTAACGGTCCTGTGAGATTCAGGCAGGCGACTGCGGTGGTGGTGATGGTGGTGGCAGCAGGCCTCGGGTGCGAGAGAGAGCAAAAAAACGACAGGGAGCATCTTCTAAGTATCTCCCCCGCGCCCCACCAGTTCAGAGCCCGTTAAAAAGCCGATTTGATGGGGAAAGAGAAATTCACACACTAAAAGCACTTCTGTCTGTTTCTCTCTCTCTCTCTCTTTCTTTTTCCTTTTTTTTAAAAAAAGAACAAATGTTTTATTTTTTTAAACTATTTTTTTTTAATTAACTAACCGTTCATGTTGTCTTCTCCATTTCTCAGTGTGGGTTTGAGGCCGAGGACAGACTTGGGGCAAGGGGTGGTGGTGGTCAGACATTAAGACAATCTCTCACTCACACACCACAAGGGGTGTGTATACACACACACACCCCATACACACACACTCCTTCCATGGGGGAGAGGGGAGAAGGGAGTTGAACGGAGTCTGGAAGAGCGCCTTCGGACTGTCTCCTAGACGGAGTGGGGAGATTTTTTGGGGAATTGTAGTCCAAAAAAGGAAAATGTAATTTTTTTTGGCAGGCCTTCTCTGATCTTTTCATGCACTATCCGATGGGATCAAAACACGAGCCCTCTTTGTCTCCATTCTTCTTCCACGGAGAAGGGCGCAGAGAGCAAAAAAAAAAAGGGCTATTTCTAATAGATTACCTTCCTTTAAAAGAGTTGTGGATGCTTGAACTATCTGGTATGTTCGATCTGCCTAAAAACATAGTGTCCGTCCCTCACCCAACCATTTACTATCTTAGATTGTCCGTCTGGCCTTTCCCTTCCCACCTCCCATTTCTGCATGCTTAGGGACCTTGTGCCCCCCCAATTGTGGGGTCGTGAGCAAGCTGGGGAAACTGGTTGAAGACAGGACTCTTGTTTACTGTGAGACGGTGGGTCTCTCGCTGCTTCTGGGCCTGGGGCGCCAAGAGGAAAGGGAGCCGCCCTTCGCGGCAAAGTCACTGCTTGGCCGTTTTCCTTCTCTGGATGTAATATTTCCCCCACACACACACTTCCCCTGTCTTGTTAATTTTTTTTTTAACATAAATAATAAACTCATAATTCAGTGGCGTCCGCTTGTTCCTTGGCAGCCTTCCACAGGAGAAAATTTGCAACGGAGGAGATAATAACCCACGATATTTCTTCTTTATTAAGCCCGCTTTAGGGCTCCATCACATTCTTTGTGTCTACAGTAGGACCGTTATATGTATTCCGCGCTCGGTCATCCTGAAAAGCATCCAATAGATCCAGGAAGCCGCCTCTTACGGAGTCCAGCCTCTGGCCTCTCCAGCCCAGTAGGGTCTACTCTGGCGTGCAGCAAGAAATTCTCTTTTTTTCCCCCCCTTTCCCCTGCTGTGTGACTCTGGAGATGCTGGGCCTTAACCGTTGGCTCTTGGGCAAGGCAAAGCCCATGTGCCACAGCTGATGGGAGGGCACGCCCAGCATCTGGAAAGCTGCCTTATGCCATTGGTCTGTGTAAAATCTCTCTTTTTTCGACTTTGCAGCATCTAGAATTGCCCATTGAGGAATAGCTAGGCCTAGCTTCATCCGGACTTCCTGTTCCTGCCCAGGTGCTAGCTGGGAGCTTTCGGAGCAGGAAACGAAAGTGGAGCTAAGGCCTAGCTTGGGCTTCAAAGCCTTCCCGTTGAGGCAAGCCACATTTAGGTGTTGTTGGGGGTTTTTTTTGTTGTTATTTTTGGAAGGTGTCTGTAAACTCCCAGAATTATGGTTTCTGTAGTCCATACAATAAAAAAAAATCCACCTTTGGCCTCTTTGGTTGCCACTTCTCTCTTTTTTCGACTTTGCAGCGTCTAGAATTGCCCATTGAGGAATAGCTAGGCCTAGCTTCATCCGGACTTCCTGTTCCTGCCCAGGTGCTAGCTGGGAGCTTTCGGAGCAGGAAACGAAAGTGGAGCTAAGGCCTAGCTTGGGCTTCAAAGCCTTCCCGTTGAGGCGAGCCACATTTAGGTGTTGTTGGGTTTTGTGGTTTTTTTTTTTGGAAGGTGTCTGTAAAGTAGAACTCCCAGAATTATGGTTTCTGTAGTCCGTACAATCAAAACAAAAATCCCACCTTTGGCCTCTTTGGTCGCCACTCTGCTGGCTGTGGGATTCTGGGAGATGTAGTCCCAAAGAGGGGGGTGGTGGAAAGGAAGAGAGGACCATTTCGCATCACTGGCAAGCCGCAAGGATTCTCAGCATTCTCCATCGGAAGCACCAGGGAGTCCAGAGTATGGGGCCTACGCTGACGACTGCAACCTAATGATGGCCGGACACACCAGTGCAAGGAACAAAACGCTTTGACACTCCTTTGTGGCTTCTAATGGAGACAAGTTGGCCCTCGAGGTGGGGGGAAGAGGCATTCCCTACTTCTGCTTTAGAGGCAGAGGTTGCCAGCTTTTTTTTTGGCATGGCTCCTGTACTTTTCACTGCAGCCTGGAACAAGGCAGGAAACGAAGCTTTTTCCCGGCGTGGAGGCCGAGGGACGAGGCTAAGTTGCTTCTGAAAAAGCAAAGGCGGAAGAACCGGGAAGAGTTAGAAGTGTGTTGTGTTCTCGTTTTGGAGCACCCGCCTGGGGGGGGTCTTGAGGGGGCCCTCGTGCGGCCGTGGCCAGAAATTGTGTAATAAGATAAGGGAACCACTAGGCCGTACTGTCTTGATTCAGTTCCGCTCGATGTTCCACAATCTCTCTCTCTCTCTCTGTTCTTAGCCCAATACGTCTGTATTCCAGCCAGAAGCAGAACACCTTTGCTTTTAACCCCCCCAGTCTTTCTCAATATTGGGTTGTGACTCCCATCATCCACAGACAGGATGGCTCCAGTGGTGATAGGTGTTGAACCACTAGGCCGTACTGTCTTGATTCAGTTCCGCTCGATGTTCCACAATCTCTCTCTCTCTCTCTGTTCTTAGCCCAATACGTCTGTATTCCAGCCAGAAGCAGAACACCTTTGCTTTTAACCCCCCCAGTCTTTCTCAATATTGGGTTGTGACTCCCATCATCCACAGACAGGATGGCTCCAGTGGTGATAGGTGTTGTAGTCCACACACCTCGGGGGGAACGACGGCCCAAAGTTTCTTTTTGGTCTCAGAAATAGCCATCACCATCAGGTTCACCATTCTCGGGGGGGCAGGAGAGACGTAGGGCATTAAGGCCAAGCCACAGGCACAAATAACAAACTCGGCAAATACAAGCTTAGAAGGTACAAAAATAATAATAAAAAAGGCGTTGAAGGTCCCTTATCCCAGGGTTGTTCAGCTGTTGAAACATTCCATCTTAGCTTCTTCACTTCTCTCTTCCCTTGTACATGCTGGATTGTTTGTATTTTGAATAGTTTCGCTCCTTACGTAATAATAATAATGATCCTAGATCTGCAGAACTGGAAGGGACCCTCTGGATCATCCAGTCCAGCCCCTATCCAAGAGGCCCAGCGGGGGAATCGAACTCCCAACCTCTGGCTCCACAGCCAGGGACCTAAACCACTGAGCTTTTGTTTGAGAGCACCTCACCAGATATTTTGATTTTGAGCGAGAGCTTCCCGGTTTTAAATCCCTGCACCAGTAAGCCAAGTAACAGAGACGGAGGCAATAACCTAGAATGACTGGGTAGCTCCAGCTAAAGTAGACCTATTGGCTGGGATTGTGTTGCACAGTGATGTCGATGGCACCCCTTTTGGCGGCAAAATGCCTCAAATTAAGAATTTCCCCTATCTGTTGCATATTGAGTGGTAGGGCGATTTCTTATAGTCATTTGACTCCAAAAGTTACACCTTTTGCTTTACAGCACAGGATTTCA